ATATATATATGTGTGTATATATGAAAACTAACGATTGAACATATACAGGATAGTGTCCAACTTAAGGACCCCTACATCTAGTGTAATCCAACTAGAGAGCACACGTTGCTCTTTGGAGAAAACAAGTCCGACGTGACTATACTCAGGCCTAGCAAAAGCATACCAAGGAGCCCTTGGAGCTCCCATGATCGATGTAAGTGACACATAGAACAACCTATGCTCTCTATTGTAACATCCTATTTTTTAAAATAAATAACAAATAATTTAGAATAAATAGAGTATGATATATGAGAATGTTTTATTAATAAAATAAAAGGGAAGAGATAAATTAGAGAGTTTTGGATTGGACTCCAAGCTCAACCCAAAGGCTAGTTAAAAAGAAGTAAAATATAAGAGATTAGGTTATTACGTATCTTTTGAAAACCTATAGCATTTGCACAAGGAAACCTAGAGGAGACCACCAGAAAAGGTGTAGATTAGAGGTTGGAGCTACGAGAGGTGTGTTGAACCATGAGATCATCACTCCATGTAGAGGGGAGTGAGATTATCACATCCATGAACATATATGAGGGATAAAGGTAGAGAGGTGATCCATAAGCCTCTTACGTTGTTTGTTTGATTAATTCATATTGATGCATATGAATTTAAGTGAGAATTTGTTACAACTCTGATTTATGAACCATGAATCTACTCTGATTAAATCCATTTGATGAGGAATTTATGTTTTCTGAAGGTTTAGGCATTAATGTACAATTTTTTTTTTGTTTTAGGTTTGATTAGATGAAGTTTAATGATTTGATGATGCGATGATATTAATAGTGTTTGGATTGATCAATTGACTTATTAGATTGTAATTGGGAGCCATTGATGTATTTGTATAAAATTGGGGAAGATGAATTATGCATATCATGGGACTACAAAGTGTAGATTTTATGACCCTCTAAGCGTGAGAATGGTCATGTTGGGTGTCGATCTAAAGAGAGGTTCTAGACCTCTCAGCACTAGGCATGAGGGGTTGCACATATTGCCATTTAATGTCAAATTTTATGAGAGAAAGGATGTCAAGCATGACCCAGACCATGCCGGGCGAGACTAAGACTGAGAAGTCTCATACTTAGCTACGTCAAGCACATGTGATCCCACATTGAACAAGAGTTTGATAGAGACGTTTTTGGCCTCTCCATGTCGAGTTCAACCTCATTGGACACCACTATATTTTTGAAAAACATTATATTTATAGTCCTTTTGTATTCAAACGTCAATTTCATTCTATAATTTTTGTATAGATGAATTTAATGTTACAAGTTTCACTTTTTGAATTAGTTAAAAATTGATTTAAAATCATGTTTCAAAATTGAAAATGATCATTATTTTAAAAAGACTAAATTGATTCAAATATAAAAGATAAAAGATCAAAATAAATATTTTAATAGATATAAAATTAAAATAAATTTAAAAAAATAAGATAAAAGATGAAATTATAACTTAAATCGTATATATGTAGTCAAAATGTTGGAAAATGTAAGTTATATTAGTCTTTTGTAAGAATTGATGTATATAACTTAAATATATATATATATATATATATATATATAAACCTCA